GCTTGTGCTACAGCTTGTTTTGCAGCCTTAAAGTCCTCTTCTATCTTGGGGGTCCAATCCCACTGGGTACCCGTTGCATTAGACAGTGCAGGTGTCGCATCAAGAATGCCAAACGGGGAATGAACATTCTCCAAAACTCCAGCAGTCCCAAATAGGTTTGGAACTGCTTCATAGTTTCAGGTTGGGGATATGCCTGCCTGTATCTTATCAATCACCGCCTCTGGCATTATTTTCGTTTTACCCTACCAGACAACTCCCAAGAATCTGACCTTGTCCTTGTTGACGGCCCAATCCCAATCAGCGAGAGCTCCTCGCAGGCTGCTTGCTGCTGCTTCCAGTTCTGTAAGAGAATCAGGTTAGCATTATGTCATCAATATGATACAAGTGTAATGCAGGTGATCGTTTCCATGTGGCTAAATCTTGAGCCACAAGACCATGACACAGGGGAGGGCTGTGCAGATAGCCCTGGGGAAGGACGAGGAATATCCACTGCTGTCCTTCCTAGGTGAAGGCGAACTGTTCTTGGTTTTATGGAGCTATGACAATAGAGAAGGCATTTGTCAAATCCACCACGTAATGGTATCATCCAAGTTCATGTGACAAACTGTCCATAATGTCCGTGACGTTCGGTGCGGCAGCTTGTAGGGGTGGTGTAACCTTTTTAAACTCCCGATAGTCAACTGTCCTGTGCCAGGAGCTGTCAGGCTTCCACACTGGCCACATGGGGGAGTTATATGGGCTATGAGTGGGACAAATGACACCAGCTTCTTCCACCTTCAGAATAATGCGACCTATTTCCTCATGGCCACCAGGCAAGCGATATTGTTTTGTGTTCACTACCCAGGTAGCTTGGGGCAAAACCAATGGGGCATGGTGTGGATATCCCCACATAATAGTCTTCACCATCTGGATGCGAAGGCGGAATTCACCAGCAGTGGTATTCACAGACCTCTTAAGACATCATTTCCCAAAATGTACTCTGGTACGGGGGATATGTATGTCTGGTATGTCTGAGGAGGCAATCTGCTAATACTCAGTGTCACATGGACCTGCTGCACGCGAATGATTTGACCCCCATAGCCTTCTATGGTTGCACTGGGTCCGGATTCCTGTAAAGTAGGGTGCTGTCGGCACCTGTGTCCATGAGGGCTAATACCCTTTGTACATTGCGGGGGGACCAATGTATAGTCAGTTCCAGATGCGGCCTCAGGTCAACTGACTCCCCCGCCAACCAGGTGCCCTGAGCAGACCCCTAATCAGGGAGGTAATCGGCCAGCCATACCTTACGGGTTGCAGCTTTCCTGGGAATAGGGGTGAATTGCTGGTCAGGGTGCAACTGATTCCAAAATGCTAGCAGCACTTCATTAGCTTGCTGCTCAATCTTTTCTGGGGCTACCCTGTCACAAGGAGATCAAACCACATCTGTTCGCAGCTCATCTTCATGGTTGGATAGGTTGGGGATTCTTCTGTCTCCCCTTTTTTGGTCACGCTTTTGTCTGCACATTGGCCGGTTTGGGAGCACGGAGGGCAGTAGAGCATGCACTTGGGTGGTACACTCGTATGTTTCACTTCCACGTCCCCCAACCTAGCCATGGCATACGTTACCTCGTAGATTTGTCTATCCATGTAAGGGGCCAGCAGTCCAGCCATAGTACCAAAAGTCCTGGCAGGGCCAGAAATTAAAATTAGGTCCTTCACATGGGTTATAAATATCTCTTCATCAGGACTATTATACTGGGCATAAAACATCATCTGTTGCATGCCCATTTCCCGAATTATCTGGACCAGATCTAAGTACGTAGCCCACTTGCTCACCGTCTCTGGCAGCTCCTGAGAGTCGGCCCATACCGTCTGTGTGGCAGATGTGAGCCAATTAATCAGGGAATGGTTACCAGTGTCCCATGCTGTATGCGCCACATTCTGGAGGTGCTGTCGTAGGGATGGTATTACAGTTATGGAGGCCAGCCGAGCCATCTCTTCAGGAGATAATTCAGTTACTTCAGCCCCGTCATCCCACAGCCACAGCAGCCACCTTGGAACCATTTCCCCGGCTATCTGCCATACCTGCTTCATCAGGTCCTAGAGTTTGGCAGGGCTGTATTGGATCACGGTGGTATGCTTTTTAGCCTGGGGGGCACTGCCAGCTTGTTTCCCAGGGGCCAACAGCTGTTCCACATCAACCTGCTGCCATAACACTGGCTGCACTGGCTGTACTTGCTGCAGTGTCACCCGTGGGCTCCCAGGCTGGGACGATGGCAGTGACCTGTCAGGGCCCTGTAGTATGCGTTTTGTTGCCACCAGCCGTCGTTCTAGTGCTTCTTCCTGACATTGCAGTTGCTGCACCCGCTGAGCCTGGTCCTGAACCTCCAGGCTGGCCTGCTGCAGCACCGCCAGGAACATCCAAGCCACCTGACCTGCTGCCACCCGGTGAGTGGCCGGGACATTCGGCTCCAGCATCTCCGGGGCTTTCTGGACGTCCTCCGGACACAACTTCACTCCATCCCAATCCTCCGGTGGCGTCCATGTAGCCAGATATGTGGCCAAGGGATACCACAGGGAGGTGGGGGGCCACATGTCCTCCACCTGGGGACCGTCCGGAGCACTAGGGGTTGTACTCACTTCATCCTGCCGCAGATGCCAAGTGTCAACGCCAAGCTGATCGAGAAGGGGTTTCGGTGGTGAGATGCCCAATTGCAAAAACACACATGGAGCCGACAAGAGAATCGGACTGCAAGCCAAGCCAAAAAACCTTTATTGCGGGGGCTGAATGAGCTTATATGTGCCAGAGAACAACAGTGGCATTCCGTAGTGGCACAATAGTGGCATGTGTAGTACAGCAAGCTGAGTCATTCTTACATAAGCTAGTCACAGGTGCACTACTGTGTTTAATGTAACATGCCAGGTCTGGGGGTCATATCCTTAGCCGTGAGCTTGGATCAGGGCCAGGCCTGGGGCCCATACAAACATTTACTCATTTTCAAGATGTAGCTCAAAGGATCATTTTTTTGAAGCCTTTTCTGACTTTGGAAGGTAGCACTGACCTACTTGTCTCCTTTGTATTATTACATTATTTTCTTCCATGGTAGCACCTGTTTCAGTAGTTTACACATTTCCTTGGCTGTCTCCCTCTACTAGACTATGAACTTCTTGAAATCAAGAACCATGTCTTACTCATTTTTGTATGCCAACTTCTAACACAAGGTGGGAGGAAGATTAATGTTGAAGAAAAGAAAGTACAAGCAAAGATACACAGATTAAAAAGCTGAAGTCAATCCAGAGATAGTGAGATCAGTTTTGCTGGGTAGAAATCTATTTAATAGAGAATGGGAGCTGTATCTGGAAAGACAGTTTGGAATCAGTATACAAAAATTTAAGTAAACCTAAGAAATCTGAAAGAGGCTAAAGTAAGTGCAGTGCTTTTGAAGATTTCGATGCAAGAAAACACCACGGTATTCTAGTGAGGAATATGGTACTAAACCATAGAAAGCTATTAAAATATAAAAGTCCCTACAGCTTTCTAAAATAAAGGCAATCGGATGTGGAAATAAAAATGACTTTTTGTAGTTTTATATTTCAACAAGATTTTAATTGATTCGTCGTCACTTCTTATCCAAAATAGTTTTGTGATACTATCAAAGAAATAAAAATAGCACCTTAAAACTGTTTCATATGAGTTTGGCTTCAAGAAAATATTGTAGGTCTTTTCACACTGATTTTAAAATATTATATAACAGTGAAAAGAGAGAGCAAGTTTGAGTGCTTATCAAGTTTTCTAGAACTGAGAAAGAAGAGCACTTTACTTGGAATCAATCACTTCAACAGATATTGCCCAGAAAGAAACAGCATGGCTGGGAGGTTCAGATGCAGATTACACAGTCAATCCCTTATCTAAAGAAAAAAAAAAAAAAGGGTCTATGGCCATGCCACTCTGAACAAGCCCAATCTCATCTAATCTCAGAAGCTAAGCAGGGTCAGGCCTGGTTAAAATGGCATGTGAGCAATAGATGGTCATCTATAGATGCTTTTTTAAAAAGATATTTTCATGTTATACTTTCTCGTCATAGAGTCACAGCCAGCTCTGAGCAAATAACGTTGTTGAATTTTTCGGACACTAAAGAATAAATGTCTACATTCCTCTCTGTTGTCTTCATTCCTCAGACATTGGGTATATTTTGAGCACTGCAGTTTCAGCAACGATTTTTAAAAACTAAAAATAACTGTGTTACAAAAGCATTACTTATAGAAAATAGTCAAGAAGGCTAAGCAACAAATAAGGGGGCGGGAGTAACATCACAGTCATTGTACATCCTTGCAGACCTTACAAAACTCTCTAAAAGGATATACATTTTTTTGGTAACTTGTATCTCCTAACGTAGTTTCAACATCTTTTATTAATATATAGCTATTTTAAATGAATGCACAGCATTTAGATGCACCCACACAATACACAACCAATTTCCTGGTGCTGGGCATTTTGGCTAGTTCTATATCACTATTATAAAATAACTCTGGGAGGTACAGTAGTAACTTTGAGATTACTACTCAAAGTAATAATTTTTTTCCTACGATTCCAGGCGAACATGATGGTGTCCCTTCTCCCACAACAGGGGACTATGTAGACATTATCATTACAAAAAAAAAATAATAATTCTCGTTCTGATGGACAAAAAATGCTATTTCATCGCGTTAAGTGTACACTTTTGATTATCTTCCACTCACTGAGGTTGCGGGACAAGAGTTTCTGCGAGCAAACTCGGAACTGTCTCCACCTCCTACTGTCCAACCTCCCCCAAGGTGACGCGGAGGAAGGACGTACGGCCGAAGCAGGCTAGGACGTAATGCGTACAGCTGCGCGCGCATGTGCGGACGTGCGTGTGCGCGTGCGCACGAGAGCATTGTCGGCGAAGTCGGCGGCTGCGCGAGTGGCTAGAGACCCGGCAAAGGTATCTGCTGCCCGCTGCTCTTGTTCTTCCGCCCCTCCAACGGTATATCGGGTCGGTAATAGAGAGGGGAGTCTGATGACCTGGGGCCTGATTTCTTTTCCTGTCGCCACACTACACTTTCTTTGGGAGTATGTGGTGGTGCTCGAGAGGCGGTGCAGAGTATTGGCCACACCCCCTATTGCCCGCCCTTGACCTTCGTCGTCCCTGAAACCCTGATTACTTTTTTTTGTTGGAAAAGGTATGAAAATTGCCGATTACCTTTTGAAGAGCAATAAAGTCCACTTACTCCTACCTCAAAGAATAATTGGCTTTGAAATGTATTTTGTGGCACTGCCACCAGAAACACTGTTTAGAATAAGGCCTCAGTAATCCTGAACAAGGAGGCTTCCTGCATCCCATGTGAGGATTGGAGTGCCTTTATTTTTTTCATTGTGTAATTCTGTTTTGGTGAATTGAATGAATCTTCATTTAACCTCTTTATCTTGGAATGTTTGAGGGTAGTACAGCCTAAAAAGGAAGTTAAGTCCAAACAGGCGGTCTGATGTTAAGTATAAATTTGTAACATTATTTTTCATGTGCTCATTAACAGCTCACACCAAGCACCTGAAAGAACACCTTGGATATTATTTCTTAGGCCTTTAACCTATTTAAACAACAGTGAGTACCTTCTGGGCTATTGCTGTCACAGGAGTGTTTCTGATCATCAGCATCTCAACCATGTTTTCAAACGCCTTGCAGAATATCCTAGAAATTACAAACTATCATATATATTCAAACTTATGCCAGCGATTAATAAGAAGTAAAAGGTTTTTCGGAACTGTGCCAACATCCAGATTGCGTAGGCGGGTTGTCATTACAGGCATTGGCTTAGTGACTCCTCTTGGTGTTGGAACTCAGCTGGTATGGGATCGTCTTATCCGAGGAGAAAGTGGAATTGTTTCGCTGGTTGGTGACGAATATAAGAGTATCCCTTGCAGTGTTGCTGCTTTTGTGCCAAGAGGTTGTGATGAAGGTCAGTTCAATGAACAGAACTTAGTGTCCAAGTCGGATATCAAGTCCATGTCTTCTCCCACTATTATGGCCATTGGGGCTGCAGATTTAGCCATGAAAGATTCTGGCTGGCATCCTGAGTCAAAAGCTGATCAAGTGGCTACTGGTGTTGCAATTGGCATGGGAATGGTTCCTCTTGAAGTTATTTCTGAAACTGCTGTGATGTTTCAAACAAAAGGTTACAATAAAGTCAGCCCATTCTTTGTCCCTAAGATTCTGATCAATATGGCAGCAGGCCAGGTCAGCATTCGGTATAAACTCAGGGGCCCCAATCATGCAGTATCTACAGCCTGTACCACAGGAACTCATGCTTTGGGAGACTCTTTTAGATTTATAGCCCATGGTGATGCTGATGTGATGGTGGCTGGAGGTGCAGATTCTTGCATTAGCCCTTTATCTCTTGCTGGATTTTCCAGAGCCCGTGCTCTGAGCACAAACTCTGATCCTAAGTTGGCATGTAGACCATTTCATCCAAAAAGAGATGGTTTTGTAATGGGAGAAGGTGCAGCTGTGCTGGTGCTGGAAGAACACGAACATGCTGTTCAAAGAGGGGCCCGGATTTATGCAGAAGTTTTGGGCTATGGACTGTCAGGTGATGCTGGTCACATAACTGCCCCCGATCCCGAAGGTGAAGGTGCCTTAAGGTAAACACTATTTCATTCAAAATACTTCTTCAAATAAGATGTTTTATTGGGGTCTCAAATTGTAGTATCTCGCCTTGGTGTATGGTATCTCTATTGTTTTTCCGTTTTAGACTAAACAAGGTGTTCTGAATTCTTTGTTTTAATATGTTTGAAATATTTGAACATCATTAAAAAATTGGATTTTAGTAAAGGCCAAGAAAATTGTGAAGAAGGCCACGTGTAGGTCTTTGCCAAGTTTTCATACCTCTAGTTCTGCTTAACAGCTATCAGACTGCTCCTTCCCCATAGTCGTCCTCTTTGGCCCTTCATCATACTTGGACAGTAGAGTCAAGACATTCTTCTAGATATGTCTTGTCTCTGCTCCATTCCAACAGGGTCCTGATGTTATTAAATTAGTACTTCCCAACTTTTGATCACCCAGCAATCTTATTAAAATGCAGTCTTCCTCTATAGGTCAAGGGTGGTGCTTGAGATTCTGCATTTCTAACAAGCTCCCAGGTGATGCTAATGCTGCTGGTCTGAGGATCACACTTTGAAAAGCAAATTGCTATTGTAGGATAGTGATTTAAGTTAAAACAACAACAACAAAAAAAAAACCTTGTTAACGTGTGACTAATAGTTTAGCTTGCTTAGATCATATTATGTTGGTAACCAGTTAAATTAGTCACGGGTTGGCCCACTCTTTCTCTACAGGGACAAATAGTAAATATTTTCAGCTTTGTGGGCCATAGGGCCTCTGTCACAACTACTCAACTTTGCCTTCTAATGCAAAAGCAGCCATGTGCAATAACATAAATGAATGTGCATGTTCCAGAGAAACTATTTACAAAAAACAGGCATCTGGCTGGGGCCATAGTTTACCGACTCCTGAATTATACTTTTGAGTTTTAGTAATTGCTAGTGCTAAAAATGTGAAATAGTCAGCTAGCTGAAGGAATAGTTATGTTTAGTTGAAACCTTTCAAAACACTTCAAATTATATTCTGAGCTACCTCTTAAGGAAATTTATGCAGCCCAGAGATCAGGAACTAAACAAGGTGTTAACATCCATGAGATTTTTGAAGGTGCTTCTGGGTAAATGTTTTATTTTGGGGTTTGTTTGTTTGTTTAGCTTGGCTTTGTACCTCATTTATTTAGAATTCTTATAGGCTAAACAAAGAGGATTTCGAAAGGTTATTTGAAGCATTGAAGTAATGGTGCAGACATTTTTAGATTATTGGGAAATATGCCAAGTTTTACATTTAAATGTGAGGGAAAAAATTAAAACCTAGTTATAAAACTTTTCACATTTTAAATCTACACACACACACAACACACACATATATACACACGCAGGCACACACACCTCCTCACTGATAAAAAAAATTCCTAGAAGAAAAATTATTTTAGGCTTGAATCAATATTTTTCTCTCCCCCCGCCCCCAAGGGAAAAGTCGTTTCAGATAAATGGGAATTTATTTTGGTAGCTATTATAAAATCTGTAGGCTTGTATGTTTATCTCTTGGTGATGAATCTGTCCAAGGTACTGGGGGCGACTCATTCTGATGCAGCTAGCATTTTAACTCGTATTGTAATCCAGGATGGGGTTCTGTTATTAGAGCAAAGATTCTTTTCATCTAGTGTACTTGCATATTTCTTTCACATGAGCTATGTGGGTAATGAATCCCATGTTAAAATTAAACAGTTCTGATAAATTTCTTTTGTTATTTTATTAGATGTATGGCTGCTGCTATAAAGGATGCAAATGTACAGCCTGAAGAGATAACCTATATCAACGCACATGCTACTTCCACACCATTGGGAGATGCTGCTGAAAACAAAGCTATCAAATATCTCTTTAAAGAGCATGCACATGCCCTTGCCATTTCCTCAACTAAAGGAGCCACAGGACATCTGCTGGGAGCTGCAGGGGCGATTGAGGCAGCGTTTACAGCTCTGGCTTGTTATTATCGAAAACTACCACCTACTTTAAACCTGGATTGTACAGAACCAGAGTTTGATCTCAATTATGTTCCACTAAAGGCACAGGAATGGAAAACTGAGAAAAGATGTATTGGACTAACAAATTCCTTTGGTTTCGGTGGTACTAATGCAACACTTTGTATTGCTGGCATGTAGGCAAATCATATGTAATTAAACATTGATTTTTTTAAAAACGTTATAAACGAATTACATTAAGAGGAGAAATACTATGTTTATCTAAGTACATATGCTTATATATCAGTACCCAGATACCTTTATCTATGTCAGGCACTGCTGATACTTTAGACAGGCTAATTTGTTGGCGACAGGGGAGCTGTCCTTTATATTGTAGGGTACCTCACAGCATCCTACTCACTACCCACTAGATTCCAGCAGCACCCCCTTCCCCAATTATGACAATCAAAAACGTCTCTAGACATTGCCAAATATTTTCTGGGGTACAAAATATCCCCCATGTGAGAATCACCGATCTATGTTTTTCTAATACTCCACATCAGACAAATCTTTATGACATTTCACCTGCTTTTGTCTCTGTCGCAAACATTCAGTTAGTAGCTGCTCTGTGCTAGTAGGGTTGCTGTATTGTACAGCTCCAGGCACACCATTCTCATACAATATATGGGAAAGGACTACAAATATAACTGGAAGTTTGCATCATTGATCAACATTCTTTGAGTAAAGTAGTCAGTCAGCAATATCTATTTACCCCTTTCCTATCTAGCTCTCTTTTCTTCATTATCTATACTGAGATTCAGTAAAGTAGTGGAACTTCCTTAAACTCTCAAGCCATCAGTTCTCTGAAAGAAGGAAGTGCAGTTGGTTTGACATTTTACTCTGTATAGTTGGCAGTACCTAGAGATTAATGGAGATAAGGGTCCTTGAGAAGTGGAACAAAACCTGTTGGTGATTCAAACCACATCACCTCAGCCCACCTCTAACTTTATTCCTGCTTTAGCGAATAGTTTGGCTTCCAACGTTTCACCATAAGTGCCTCTACTTTTCTATCTTGGGGCCTTCTCTAAAACCAAGGGATCTCATTCATTTCCATCGGCTGGAAGTGTTGGAAATGGGAGGGGGACAAGTTCCCTAGAGAAAACAGGGAACTTACTCACTAACTCCTACCTCTGAGGGATAGGAGTTAGTGGGTAAGTGCCTTTACCTACTTTCCAAGGGATACCTAAGGTTCTGTGTGGTTTCTCAGAGAATTTTCAGTCAGATATAATTTAAGTGCTCACAGCATTAACCAGCTCAGTAACTCCCACTTGACTGGCTTTATTTCCTTCTCTTTCCCCCCCTCCTTGGTTTTTAATCCTGCTTCTTCCAGGAATCACCTCCCATACAAATCACCCTGTCTTAGTGTCCGCTTTCTGGGGGACTCAGGAAGTTTGTGTTGCAGTAGGGGTTTATATGTCAAAGGGACAAAGTGAATACATGGTTAAACAATGTATTCCTGCAGAGTTCCCTACATTTTAATAGGCTGAATATGTTGCCTACTCACTGACCTTGGCTATAGCAGTTTATCTCTTTTACACCTAACACTCCAGCCATTTTCATTCAGCTATCAGTTTTAATTCTCATTGGCACACATTGATTTGTTCAACCGAAATTGCTGGGTGCTACCCCTGGACCTGGTTTTGTACTGGCTACCAATGATACAGTGATGTGTCAGGGGTGGTGTCCTAAAAGAAGCTGAGGCCATAAGGGTGAATAGGTCTCAGCCTGCTTAAGTGGAAAGAAAAAGAAGGAAGAGTATTCTGGCCAGGAGGAATGCAGCTTGAAAAGGTTAGAAAAGTTAGAACATTTGTACTAAACATAAATACAGATAGCCTGAGGTGGGGGAAGTAGGAGATAAAGCCAGAAAATCTGGTAGAAGTCAGGTCACAAAGAACCTTACAGGTTTTATTAAGGCTGTATGAGTAATTAATGGGAAGCCATTTAAGGTTAGGGATGTCAGGATGGTTTTGTAATGTCAACTTGGCTAGGCTGAACTACATTTCCTGGAAGTCTACTGTATTTTGGGGGCTGGCCATAAGAGATTCTTGGGGGAAATTTGGAGGGTGGAAGTGAAGCAGCAGCCATTTTGTAGCTCATACATCTGGCTTTGCTGGCTCACCTTAAGGTGATGAAGTGACTGATCCTGCAACTGCTTCACCTTCCTCTGATCCTTTAGCTTCTCTAACTCCTGGCCAGGTATGTATTTAGCTCTATGAAAGTGAAGGGCCCCTGCATCTGCCCCATACCGCTAAGATCAGAGGCAGCATGAACTGACAGCTTTCAGTTTACGTGATTATGGGTTCCAGCTTGTTAGTGGAACTTTATATCCATCTTCTCTTCCCATCTGCCTGCCCTGTGGACTTCAGACTTCAACATCAGAAGATAATAGGTTGACTTAACAACCTTATAGAGAGCATTTAACCAGTTCTCATAATTGTGTAAGGTCAAATCCCTGTAATTAGGAGTGGCTCCATAGTGTAGTGGTTAGCACGTCTGCTTTACATGCAAAAGGTTCTGGGTTCGTGGCCCAGGAGGAGCCATGGACCATGCTCTGGGCGCACGCCAGGCCCTGGGTGCATGCCGCGAGCGTGTGGGAGGAGACACCCCGCCTTCAGAGATCCAGTTCTTAAGGAAAAATGGCAACATCCATAGGTCAGGGGTGGAAGTGTGGGGAGTATTAAAGAGGGGGAAAAAAATTCCTTGTAATTATATGTCTATATATTTATATCTAGATCTATCTTAGTGGTACTATCTCTAATTAAACCCTGACTGATACATGTGAAGAAGAATAAGAGTTATTTGGAGTAACATACTCACATTTTCTTTCGGAAACATTACTTTGGCTACAGAGTGAAGAACAGATTGGAGAGAGGCTTGATTCCTATATAGGAATCCAGTCAGAAGGGTATTGCAAAATCCAGGTAAGAAAAGATGGTGGCCTGGATAATGCAGGATATTTTGACCGAAAGTTCTAAAGTTGAAAATCATTTTTTAAAAACCAACTTTACTACAGTATAATTTATATACAATAAAATGCACCCATTTTAAGTGTACAGTTAAGTGAGTTTTGATAAAGGTGTACACACAGTCCCAAAAGCATGACCTCAATCAAAATAGAGAACATTTCCATCACTGCAAAAATTCCCTTGTGTCCCTTTGCAGTCAATCTCCCCAGCTCCAGACAATCACTGGAGAGCTTTCTGTCACTATATAAGATTTGCCTTTTCTAGAATTTTATATAAATGGAGTCATACAGGACTTATTCTTTGGTGTCTGGCTTTTTTCACTCAATATTTTTGAGATTTATCCATATCATTGAGTATATGAGTAATTCATTCTTTTATTGCTGATTTAAGAAAAAATCTT